GCTAAGAAGAAGGCAGCACGTACCAATAAAAAAAAAAAGAGATGGATAGGTGGAACAGGCAAATATAGGGAGTAGGGAAAAAACATGGATGGATGCTGAAGAGAGGAAGATGCTCAGTTATTATTGACAATCTCCCCTCCGCTGGGGTTTGACTCCTCGAGATGACAAAGACTCATGATCCCTTCAAAAACACGGTCTGCTGGTAATCCACAGCATTATACACACACAGCCAGCGATGGTCTAACACACACACTGCTGCATCCACAAACTCTGGCTACACACACACACACACACACACACACACACACACACACACACACACACACACACCACACAAACCATACAGCAAACATTAGTGCATAAAACACACCATGAACCCTGGATACAAACACAAGCCTACGGCAGCAAACTTGAGGAGGGTGAAAAAACGCAGATGGAGACACACACACACACACACAGAACAGACATGCCAAAACCATAGATACATACAAATTACTTAGTGTAATGAACTGAAACAGCAAACACACACAAACACAATATGCACTGTCTTACACACTCCGGATAAAGCTTCATCCAAAGACAACAAGCTGAGGGAGTTTAGTCATATCTCTGAATCCCACAAATCTCCCTCTTTGGCCACTTCCTCTGAAAGGATTGCTGATATCTACATTAATGTAACAACAGTGAAATGTCCCATGAAATGCTGTAATATGAGTATTATCGCTGAATAGGATAAGGAGGGAATACACTTTAAAGCAGCCTCTCCAGTGTTCAGTCTTCACTTCTCAACAGAGATCAGAAGCCTTTTTTAAAATGAGATGTTAACATTAATACCAGAAGAATAAGGGCATCCTTTGTGTCTCTTTCAGAAATTCTGGTTCGGGTGAACGTGGAAAATAATATGTTAATCGTTTCAGAATAACAGCAGCTCTGGGAATGTTTTGTTTTTGCTCCCGTTCTGTGAAATGCAATGTGACGCCCCCCCGACGGTCGAGATCAGATGGAGACAATCGTTGGACATCTTGGACGTGTTCTGATTTAAATACAACAAAATCTGAGATAGAAGTGGACTTGGTAGCTCACTGTTAAGAGTGTGTACCACACATCAAGGCCTTACCGCAGCGGGCTCGGGTTCGAATCCAGCCCCAGACCCTTTGTTTCATGTCATCCTCTCTCTCTCTCTCTCTCTCTCTCTCTCTCTCTCTCTCTCTCTCTGCCTTTCCTCTTCCTCTCTACTGTCACTATCTAATAAAGCAAAAAAAATGCCCCAAAAAATGTTTAAAAATTGAATTATTAGATCAGTTACATACATACAATGAGAGATAACCCCACACAAATGCCCAGGGGAGGGGCGGGAAAGATACAGACAGACAAAAATAATTAATATCTGACTTACAGTCACTCAGTTGATGCTCTCAGAATGAGTTTAACACATTAAATTAGTTGACGGGAACACACAGAGGTTTTGAGAAACTGCCCATGTTGTTGTTTAGCTGGTAAATGCCAACAACACTGAGTCTGCAACTGACTTATGGAAGATTGTCGTCACCGTCTCTCAACAAACTGGTTGCAAAAATCATTCACAAGAGAATAGAATAGCAACAGAATTAACAAACGATTGTTTTCATTATCGATTCGTTTACAGATTATTTTCTTGAGTAATCAAAAGAGAGCCCCAAGGTAGCGTCTTTAATTGTTTTCCGTTGTCCGACCAACAGTCCAAAACCCACAGATATTCATCTTTACTCAGATTCATTTTCTGTCGATCAATTAATTGATTTACCGACTAATTATTTCAATTCCAAACAGAATAAAAATCTCTTGCTCAGCTGAAATAGATATGGAAAAGACCGGCCAAATTGAATCTATATATATATTTTTTGTTTAGCAACCTTCAGGACATATATTAAAACAAATGTATTACTTTTTGTTGATAAAATATTAGCATGAAGCAGAGGAGCAGGAACAGGGGGATGATTTGGTGTCTGTGTTCTTATTACTGAACAGATAAATGGACCAAGAAGGCCCCATAAAAATCACTGTTAGTGCTGAAACAATGTGTTGATTAATTGACAGACAATGTATAGATATGTATGCTTTTATTTCCTTGAATGTGAGTATTTTCTGCTTTTTACCTAATTGTCACATAGAATATCTTTGGGTTTTGTACCGCTCGTCACTTCAAAAAAGAAACCTGAAGGCGTCACCTCGGGCTCTGGGAAATCGTCACTATTCTGCAAACTAAATGATTACTCAAAAATATAAAATCAACAAACTACTTCACTTTCTTCAATTGCCAACACTAAAAGAAACTAGCAGTTAAACAGGGAAACTCTGTCATAATGCCAACAGCAGTCAGACATGGACACACACAGACCAAGATGTAACATACGTTGCCCCGTCCCATATTAACACCACGACACTGGGAAAACACCAAACACAAGCTCTTTTTTTCTGTCAGTCTCCCAGACCTATAGTTCCGAATCCATCTCTTCCATCCATAATCATCGCCCCCCCCCCCACCTCAAACCCTCTAAACCACTATTCTCAGCCCCTTTCAAGTGGCAGGTAGACGGGGCCTGATACGCCGCTACCGCCTCACAACCAGCGGGCTAATTACAAGGGAAGCAGCAACAAGTGAGCATTGTGTGGAGTCTCGAAGACACACGGGGAAAGAAAGTGCTCTTTATCTTGCCCCCACCAACCCCCACCCTCCCTCCACCACCACCAACACCATCCCACCCTCAACAAAAACAATCTCTTGAGAGGCTCTGCGGTTGGCACTCCAGGGTTGGAGAAAGAAAAGAGAAGCCCGTGTGACGAAAAGGTGAAAGAAGTAGAGACACATTGAAGCATACCATCACACTTGCTCACCGTGTTTGTCTGACACGATGCCGGATGTGCCGTATTATGCAATGATGAGTATAAAGATGTTTAAGGAAATATGAACACTAGCAGTTCATTCAATTATATACTCAAATCACAGCGTAGGGTTATGAACAGACTTGAGGAGAATGTGATTTCCTGGAAGGTCTCACAAACAAAATGCACAGTAACAGTAAAACTGAGACCAGAACAAGTGGAGCTACTATTTTCTCTGAGTTTCTTTCCAAGAAAAAAAAATGACTGTAAAACAGAATGTAAAAACAGTGGCTACCAAACATTCCTTTCAGGCGACTGAGTTCAAGTCTGTTGGTTTAAAGTCAAACTACAGGGTGAGGAAATATTTATTCATGTACAAACGCAATTAGTCATAGTCAGGGCATAAACAGGGTTAACCACAGTTATTCCAAAGCTCTATTTGATAACAGTTTATCCAAATGAACTGTACCACTGTGGCAGAGCAACTTTCACAGATGCCATGACACTAAAAGTGAAGGTTTATTCACATTTATATTATTTTTTAGAGAATCTTTGCATTATTTTACTAGGAGATAACATCATTTCATTGTCATCTTCTCTTGACCCTTTAATGACCCGTTTTAAATCTCCCATTAACCAGCCCGCTGGGTCTTGACCCTGACTTTGAAGAGGACTTTGTGGTAAAACTAGAGACTTCAAGGTGTCATTAGCAAATCCTATTTTCCGGCCATAATGCAGATTTTGTGATGCAGAAGATTCCTAAATCACGGTGCCTCGCATTAGATCAGCCTACAGTACATGTGATCTCATAAACAGGCATCTCTGCTGTTTAGTAACGTCTTGTCTGCTAGAGCAGGGGGTTAATTCAGGCAACAGGATTACACAGCACGTGAAAAATGAATTAGGCACAACCACTCATGTTTGGTGCAATTAGTCAGCCTATCCATGGATATTGGTTCTTATGGGTGACTTGAAGGGATTTTATGATTAATTTTTTAGGGCTGTCTGGCTGGATGAGTGATACTGCAGACTTGAAATCCTTCCACGAGTCTTTCTGGTGTTTGTTTTAGTGGTTTAACACTCAGAACAGCTATTTAAAGGCAGCAACAACCTTCTTGCCATTCACGCACGGTACAAACAGATGGAAAACGTCACGTGAAACGGTTCACGGTGACGACATCGATCATATTCCGACTTCAGCAAAAGGCGTAAACATAAACAAGCTCCTTTCTCTGCTTTCCCTCACGAGACTGCGGCACTGAGCATGTTTTAAATACTGCTTTATTTCATAAGGCAGTTAGAGGACGATATAGCACAGTTGAAAGCCAAATCAGAACTCATGTAAAGTTTGTGACTGCGGCTGTGATCTGACGCTACCTTTTTGCCCCCTTTGAACATAAATCGGCCCTCACTGTATTAAACTACAGGCACGATCGAGAGCTGTACTGAAACAAACTGACAGTCTGCAATCTGAAAGGGTAAAGGGGTGTTTCTTGGGCTTAATTGACAGAGGCGTATGTCATGTAATCATAATAGATTTCACATATTAAAAAAAATATGTATATAAATATAAAATATTATAGCTGAGGCCATAGTATGCTGATCACAACTAATAGGAAAAGACACCACTGTTTTTTTATGTTGATGTGAGTGGAAGTTGCAAACCAGATGCACAACAGATTTAATAGAAATTATGAGGAAAAGAAGGAATATTCAGAAGAAATGTTTATGCCTTTGTCCAAAAAAATGTCCACACCATCTCTGTTTCGTTACTATGAAATTCTGGCTACTGAGGATCTATTTGCTTCAGCCTCAAATAGAAAACACTAGCCAGCGGCCAACAAAACATTTCCATCCCTGACTGTTTCTGCCTTTCACCACCAACATTGAATATTATTAGAAGGTTCATCACATGAAACTCGTACTAAAGCACAAAACCATGTGTACAGTGTTTGGACAAAGAGTACAAATAGTAGCTGAAGTGCACAAACTTGCACTGGAGTCCAAAGTAGGATGTAAACAGGGGGCAGATAAGGACCTCAGACTGCCCTCAGCTACTGACCCAAGAAACCATGAGGAGACAAACAGCGACCATTGTACTCCAGCCAGCGGGAGAATTAAAACAGAAGCAGACTTACAGATGGAGAAACCGAGCTGTTTGGGAGGTAGGGGTCAGGCAGCATCAGGAAGGGATACCCTGGATACGCCGGCGTCTTGTACATGCCTCCATCTTGGTGCTTCGACACTGAGGTCAGACATGAAAAAACAACAAACTTAAAGTTAGCAACTCAAAAACTTCAAAATGTTTTAATGGGACCATTTGATTGTCTTATTATTTTAAACCAAACGCTTTTTGCTTGGTCTCCGAGAGGACGGATCATGTTTCATTTAAAATTCACATAAAAGTAAAAGTTGCTCATGGAATAACAGAAGCTGTGGATGAAACGCTGTATGTAGGATTAAAAAAAATCAAAAATCTGATACTTACTCCCACAATGCTGCTATAGCATTTAGCCGTGTGCCTCAGAACAAAAAAGAAAAATCCGACATCCAAAAAGAAAAACGTGCATACAAAGTAGGTCAACTATTTACAAGTGTTCTAGTTACTACATGTTAGATCCTTGCATGAGCACAGACTACAATACTTGAGACAAAAGCGTTACAACTGTCACTTTGCCTGAGAGGCGTGAGCTCCTGTAGCCTATGTGTTAATTTATCTCTCACCACCACCCATATTAAGCATCAGAGGCATCTCTGCAGGTCAGCTATAACAAGGTTATACCTGGTCTGCTTGCAAACACTGAGACACACAACAAACTTTTTTTTTTTAACCGTTCCACCCTAATCCCTTGTCGTTTGCAGAGCTATTCTGAAGGTGCTAAAACTTTTAACATTTCAGAGCCAGAGCGACAAAATCACGCAATCGTTCGAAGCGGGCACGATTGTTTTCTGTGGGTTCCGCCTCTTTCCAAATAGATGTATTCAAAAAACCGCAAATGCACGTTTGATGAAAATTTTTTGCACAAAAGAAAACAATGTAGTGTGTGTTCCTTTTATGAAATGAGTTACACAACTGAGTACAGCCTACACTGATGCCTATAATTAAAACTGTCATGTATACATCTCTCTAAATGTGCCCTCTTCCAGGGAGGGAAAGTGAAATTGTTCTGTTCTTTTGGGGGGTGGCAAGCCTAATGTTAAAGTTAAAGGACCCCGGTTGACCCCAGGTTTGGCAAAAAGACAAAAGCCTGTAAATCTAAAAAAGTATTTAGATAAGTAAGCACCAAGCAGATCACACTGGTAGCATTGAGATAATGAAAATGCTTGATGGAAGCTTGATTTTCTCTGCATGTAGGTGGAAATCATCTCATCCTAATGAATATATATAAAGGCCAAGAGGCTCCCAGACTCCATGTTGCACTATGCCTTGTTAAAACTAACACGTAAAAGAAGGTTATTTCCACTTGAATCGCCCTTGATGCATGCTGATTTGAAACAGAAAAACAGAGGAAACCTCCCCACCAAGTGATAGATGTGAAAGATATACTACAGAGCCGAAGACATCGGTGGACACCTTGTCTTGCAGTGTGCACCTGAAAAACAAACTCTTTGAAGTTTAATGCTGCAACACGTGTCCCCCCCCCCCCGACTTAAATACTGCTAAACTTTGACACAGAGGAGGGTTTAATCGCTTCTGTGTGTGTGTGTGTGTGTGTGTGAGTGTGTGTGTGTGTGTGTGGCTACTCAAAACCGGATGAGAGCGAGTATGGAAACTGTTTTCTTCTTACCGCCGTCGAGATGCTCCCGGTGCTTCTCCGCGAAGCCCCTCTGCTCGCCCTGCTGCGCCCGCCTCACCGCCTGGAAGGGGGACCCAAACAAAACACGGGGGTCAGATACAGTAAATAGTTAAAGGTGGGGGGGGGGGTACAACCTCGAAGAAAAAGTGTCAAAGAGAGCGATATTGTGCCCTAAAGCAACCGTATCATACTCTATGGTGCGTCTTTGTCGCGGTGTGGCATTTGTAAACTTCTGGAAATGTTACTACTGTAACCCTGAAGGCATTTATTTCACAGCGCTTCCATTCAACGCTTGTCAGGAGCGTCTAAAATAAAGCTTTCTCTCTCTCTCACACACACACACACATATACACACACTCCGTGCCACCTACCGCTGCGTTCGGACTTTGATTTATTTCCGACTCGTTCACCAGAGAGGACTTGAGGTCGGCCAGGTCTCTCTCCGTGAACGCGTTTTCTTGGATTTTCTCCTCTTGCTCCCCTTCGTCTTTGAACGCTATCATCTCATCATTCGCTCCCAGGTCGTCCCCGCCGCCGCTACTGAGCTGAGGCATGTCTACTTGCCTTCTCCCCCTGCGATATTAGTATACGCTTTAAAAAAAACAAAACAATAATAAAAAAGTATAAATGAAGGGGGGGGAAAAGAATCAATGGACTTCTTTTCTGTTAAATCTCCTCAGTCTGGGGCGCCTCCAAAGTGCAGAAACAACCACACCACATGCAGGGGAAAAAAAAAAGTTGAGATGTGTCGTCCCCCGGCTGCTTGGTTGGTAGAGGACTAATGTTTCCTTACAACAGCAAACAGCTCATTTGAGCCCAAGACAGGGAGAGGAGTCCCGACATCAAAGGGCGCCGATGATTGACAGGTCCGATGACTTGTTGGGGGGTTGTAGCCTGCGATTGTTTCGGTGGAGGGCTGAGCCTCTTAAAGAGACATCACCTCCCTCAGCTCGGCTCAACAGGAATTATTCATGACTTCCAGGGGCGTGTTCACACCATCCACGGTCCCCTGGCTGCAGACGGCTGCAGCGTTTTGCCAACAAAAAACTTCACTGAAGTCAAACAAGTATCAAAGTGTAGTTACCCTCTGTAGGGCAACAGAGGCAGAGGCAGAGTGGCTGCAGGCAAAATGTTAATATCTGAGTGTTTTGTTCCATATTGTGGGTATCAGGGCTGCTGATTACAATCAAATGTAATGGTTACAGGAAATAATAATAATCATTATATTATTATTATTTCCTGTAACCAGAACCAGAACCACAACATAATAATAATAATAATAATAACAATTATTATTATTATTATTATGTTTCATCTGCTTCCTTTTTTCACACGCATTTCCCTTATTTCACCACTTTAATCAAGTAACTGTACTCAAGCACACATTTGAGGTAGCCTATTTGTGCTTTACTTGAGTATTTCCATTTGATGCCATTTTCAAACTTCTCCACCAACAGCTTATAAAAGTTTATAAAAAGCATGAGTTTATAAAAATAAAAATGAAACTACCTGAAATTAACCCCCGCCCTGCCCTTCTACAACAGTTAAATACTACATGCACATGAATTCATCAACAATAATTTAAAAGTATGTGGTATAATAATATAACACTCACATGGGGCTTCTGCATTGAATACTTTTGATACTTTAAGTACAGTCTGCTAATGGTACTTTTACTTACTTTAAGTAGCATGTAAAATTAATTAAATTAAATTAGTATTTTAGGTTGTGATATTGTTACTTTTACTTAGTCTAAGTAAAGGAAATGAACACCCCCACCCAACTACCCACCCCCAACGATTATTTCTCAAAGTTGCTTGATTTTCTTAATTATTTACAGTATTGAAATAATAATTGTTACCTCACTACTTTAAAACTCAGCCATAACCCTTTTTTTTTTCAATATCTTTACCTATTGTTTAGTATTTTGTCATCAACTGGTGTAAAAATATAATAATCTATAAATGACAATGATCCACTTTGAGGAGCTAAAACTACTTTTTACATTCAAATATCTGGAAGAGGATTTTCTTCTACAGTGTGGAGCCAGTTCATTTTTGTCCATGTTTTCAAAGGTTGTTTCCTCGTTTCCCTTTTGGACACATGGGTGCACATTCATCAGGATCTTTTAAATTTAAACTATCAACCCACAGCACGATCATGAAATTTACTTCTTTAATCAGCTACACTCCCATCAAATGCATCCTCAGTTTGCAAGGTCCATCTGGAGAGGACTGGTATTGCAGCATTGGTCCACATATGTACGTGTTCCTAAAAATAAACATTTAATAGATTAAAAAATAATATTTTTTTACCTTTATATCTGGCATTACTTCTATTTTGTAATCATACTTTTGCTGTGGAATATTATCAGCACACATACATTAAATATATTAATATTACTATAAACACTAATATTAAGATAAAGCAAGCTAGTGTGGTGACTTCAGCCTGCTAATAAAACATGTGGGCTGCTAAACAGCAAATCTAGGCAATGTGCATTTGCTTCCTGTACTTATATCAACTGTTTTCAGTTGTTGACAACATGCAGCATTTTAGGTAGCTTATAAAACTGATGTATATTAACACAAAACAGACATTGAAAAAAAAAAGGCTTTCACTTTGTGTGTGTTTTGAGGGCTGCCTGTTTCAGCTGTGGTGATGTTAGTGGATCCTATCAGCTGCCACTTGCGTGTGAAACCCTGCCCCCTCTTTCTTGTGATTGGTTCACATTAACACGTGTCTTCTCATAAGGAGTGCTTAAGGGTCGACCTTTTCTCATTAGCAAACATACTTTAAGGGATTCATAACTACCATACAGCTCTATTAAGGAAAAATGTAACCATATTTTTATTGTTCAAAATGCAAAAAACTATGTATCATGTGTCACTGTTCTTTGGAGGTACCATAATCATCAAGTTAGTTAATAACTTTGGTAATTATGGGTTGTGAGTTTTTCTCTTATCCCAGCAGTCCTCGTCACGCTGTTCAGTTGGTAGTTTTCACTTTTTGGAACAAAACTCCTCATTTGCATGGGCAGAAAAGTGGCAGCCCAGGCAAGAAACAGCAAAATGTAGGACATTCTGTGAAAAAACATCAGAAGGCATGGCATACTCATCAATAACAGATACACAGCATGTTTTTGGCTGGTCCTTACATACCCCAGATTTTGTAACAGCCTCCAAAACAGCAAAAAGTGTTAGCTATTGCAACTACTAGATTGGAGGAGGGAAAGAAGAAGAAGAAGAAAAAAAAAAACATAGTTCAAAGATGTAGACTTGAAGTTGTGATTTCTTATCAAACTCGTAACTTGCCTTCCCCTATTTTCCTCCCAATGCCAATGCATTTTTAATGCTGATACAGTAGCATAGCTGGTCTTCAGAGTTTTTAATTGAGAAATATTTATACACTCCCATGCTGTGACTTAATACGTGACTTAATCTGAGTCGGTTGCCTTGAATGAAAATGATGATCCACAGCTGGGAAACAGAATTAAATACAAACAGAAAATGGGCCTGGTATTTGCATAAAACTGCATATTTATACAATATCGTCGATGCATATTAATAAAAAGATTAAAATGAGCGTTTTTAATGTATGCAAATCTAAATTATAAATGAGTTGTTTAAACTCCTTGTTTATTCGCCTTGATTAAATATAGACAGCTGTTTTTCCAGAGAGACAGCACCTCTCCTGCGCGGGCCATGCTGCCTCGTGAGCTCACCGCGCTCTGATCTTAACACAGTTTCCCATGAATATCTGTGCTGATAGTTACACACATTCATCACGTGGGTTCACAGGTTCACCTAAGGCTGAAGGCTACAGTCAGCGTGTCTGTCTCTCTTACAGATACACAAACACCAATCCAGAAATGAACACACTCTCTCTTTGCACATGCTTTCTCTCTTGAAATACTTTGAGGTGTCCTGACCTACAAACACTTTCTTTCTCTTTACATCTGTCTCTTTTTCACACACCAATACACACACTGTATTTTTTGCTATGAGGGGTTTGATTATTCTTGTCAGGTCAGAGTCATATTTTAAGTTCACACCACTCTGCCTTATCAGTCCAGAGTTTTTTGACTCACTCACACACAGAGCATCCTTTCTCATCATCTTTTATCTTGCACTCTAATGACTGTTGTGACATGAGAAATCATCTGCTGGCAGGAAAGGCCAAATAAGGATACATGCAGCAGATAGAAGAGATAAGCAGCCCACACAGAAAACAAAAGGGTGCGTAGCTGCTGTGACCCCAGCACTTTTCACATACAGACACAGATACGAGTGCTATATCTGAACAAGACAAAGGCCGTGGATGTTGTGATAAAGGAAGTGTAGTTAAGGCAAATATATTTAGGTTTTTGTTTATCTAAAGCTAATGGAAATCTAGTCTGTGCAGTAATGTTAAAATTCACAATTGACAAAAAGACACAAATTGTGTATTTGTGCGTGTTAAAATATTCATAATATGCTCAAAATGCTACAAGAATAAAATGTCACCTCAAACCAATAGTGGTTCCCAACTGGGGGGTCTGGACCCCCATGATGGCTCGTAAGATAAAGATGAGGGATCATTTCTGCCATATAAAATTGTATATTTTCAGACTTTCGTCATCTCAAAACCTCTCTTCTTGTGAATTACTGGATCATTTTATCGCCTCGAGCCTTTAAAAGTTGTTCAGATAAAACAAGGAATCTCTGGTATATGCAGCCTGCGTTGAGTGGGGTCCCAGGCAGACAAGCACAAAATGATTGGGGTCCCTACAGTGGTGACAGGAAATATGAAGGGAAACAGGATCTTGTGCTCTTGCCTGAACCCAAACATTTATTAAAAAAATGATTAACAATGCAAAATAAATGATGCTACTCAGTGCAAAATACAAAAACACCAACTCCACTGTCAGTATGTAAAGAACTCATTTAATATGAGACGATCATTTCAATGAGTCCCTATGCATTGCTCAATCATCGGTGGGGGAAACGTTCCTTCTTTAACATGTTTTTTTTTTTTTACATCAAAGATGAATCACGGTTGGTTCAAAAAAAGATTATATACTGTGCTTTCTAAAGAAACATCAGGCGCATTAAAGCTGCAGAGTAATTAAATCATGTCCTTTCATTGGGGTTAAGCCACATCCAAGCGAACAGCTCTTAACTGGAACCACTTGTGTGCTTTTTATTGGTAGTTTTCCTACAATCAAAACCATGTCCTTCAAGGCAGCATCCAGCCAGCAGTGTTGAACCTCAACAAATCTTTTCAACAGTTTTATTTTGTGTCTCAGTTTCTGCTATGAAACAGTAAACTAATCTACTCTAACAGCTAATATTCAGCAATCACATGGTTTTAGTTAGATTAAAGATCGTGACAGAGTTGTTTTTAATAATTAAGTGGAGCAAGATAACCACAGATCTGCATGCCAAAAACATTCAAAGGTCAACAAAGATGATATTTAGGTTCTGTACTGAAGAATAATGGTTATCAAGTTTTTAATCAAATTAATGACATTAGAATCCCTCTTATGTATCATCTAATATATGTCTTTAGAGCAAGTTTGGATTTAAAATGTAAAAAAACCCTGTTTTATTTGAACAACAAGGTTGAGTTAAGTACATCGCCAGCATGCCACGAAGCTCCTGGGAAGGTGGGTTTGATGTCTGTAGGAGGCTGAATAACCTTTGAATCATTTCAGAATTTCAAACACTTATTTAAGAAGTAGCACACAGAGGTGGAAACATGAGTAGCAGCTGTAACACAGCCTACCACCAAGAATAAAGGTTACATCTTAAGACCACCGAGAGAAAAAAAGGGGGACCAGGGAGAAAAAAAGTTCCCTCCAGCAGTTCACCATATCCTTGAGATGTCTAAGATGTCCATGAGCAAGGCACTCAACCTGCACCTTCTG